GTCCACTGTGAAAAGTTTTGCATCTGAGAGTGAAGCCTTTGATTGCCGATGAAACCATCCTCCCAACCGTCAGCTAGTGAATGGTAGGCGATCGTTCGAAATCATGTGATTCCTAGGACTGTAGTATGACAGCGGAAAAGTTCAGATGCAAATTGGCGTCCATGGTTTTTAGTCTTAGTTGAAGGGAAGACGAAGTTTGTTACCCATTGTTCGACGGGGGCACTGGCCATTGTTTCAGCAGTAATGTTCTTGTTGAGTACTGCTACTGTTCATCATGTGAACCGCCCTGCACAAGATAAAAGATAGGATAGCGAGATGTAACTAGCCATTGGTATTGATGCTTAACTATAGTGCAGGAATTTAATGACTTAAATTTTCCAAATGATATGATGGATTCGACACTGCGAGTCAACAAAAAATCGTGAAAAGCATGACTGAGCAAATATAATCGTTTTTTATTGTGAAGTAAATTACTAGAAGTTGTAAATAACTATAGCATCTAATCATTGGGATCGCCCAAATTAATGTGATCTGAATTACAAAGTTTAATATTACTTGCGGCGAAATGAATAGTAATTTTACAAACCGCCTGGATATGTCTAATTTCAACACACTTTAGAAATAACTTCAATACACTAATGTCTGTAGGGCAGAACATTTTGTTAAATTACGGCTCATCACGGTCAAGTGGGATGTCACGAACCAATGCTGTCGATGCTAATTTATTATGCAAAATACCTCTTCAAATCGTGTTTGTGAAGTTGAATTGGTTTCACTTCCTACCGAGTAATCCCATTACAAGCAAAACGAGACGATTTGCAAAAACGAAGCCTGCTCATGACCCTATAAAATCTATAAAAATAAAAATCAGCTGAAATAAGCTTGATGAGGAAGAAGAGATAGCCATTTGTGTATCAGAACACCGTTTTCAGCATTGCATTTTTAAACTACACATAATCCTACACTTTCAGATTTTTTTAAACAACCTCCATTTATACAGTTCCTTGTCCATTCATTATTATATTTACCCCTGTGTTTTTTAAGCATTTTAGAATGCCCTTGTTTAAAAATTAACTTAATAAAGGAGAATAAATCTAAGTGGTCATATCTTTATTATTCCATCACAAATGACCTCGCTCCAGTAGTCATGAACACTGTCTGCTCAGCTTCTTATCCTTTCTTTTTTTACTCTACTTTTAAGGACCTTTATGGTGTGCCACTGAAACACGTATGGAACGTATGACGATGACCTGCGCAATCATTATTATTTGAGATATTCCAGAAGGATATAAGCTTGCGGTTTCTAGAAGCTCTCAACTTTACGTGGGTTTACTCCCGACTATCAGTTGCACGTCTCAACACAACCTCCATAAAGCGCGTCAACTGTCATACTGACAATACGAAGCTTACTAATATTATTTGCACTTATATATAAGAAGTGTTATCCCCAGTAATTTTATGATCAGTGTACCTTATAAAATATCACACTAATTGAGTAACCCACCACAGTGAAGATTGTATCTTCCGTAACAATTCGGTATATTGATATCACAAATCAACCGATCACGAATTAGAGTTCCTAAATGGTCACCATAATTGTACCATAACCCATTTTATGAAACTGTGCTCTCTCTTTACATTCATATCTATCACTGATTTATATTTTCTGGAGAGATTGACTTGACAATGAAATTAGATTCTTCAATAGGTTATACGCTTCTTTGATGATGAATATCAGGAAGTAGGCTGCGAATTAATCATGTTCCATATCTTTCTTAGTCATGAACCAGATTTTGAATCAATCCAGATGGTCTTCAAAGACATCCACACTTAATTTAATATTCAACTGTTCAAGATTTGACTCCATAGGGATTTTGAAATGAGAAATAGTACAACGTGAGTCAGGTAGAACTAGATGAGTACAACCGACGGTATCATATTTGGAACTCGTAATCAGCAGACCATCAAGTACAAAGGAATTATCAGTTAATACAAATGCTGCACATCCTAGGATAGATAGGAAGATTCCCTGCTTATTTAAGTTAATTAAAAAGTGTTGGGGCATGTTCAAAGAGGCTGTTCTCATCAATTTTGTGACAAGAATGAAACCATGGATTCCTGGTTTAGACAATGAAAAGAATCACCACAAATGACAGAAAATGACCAAGACAAAGCAAAATGCAGGGTCGATTGCTTGGTGTCAGTGTTTCATCATGAGCCTTTTCTCGATAAAGAACTAGGCCCAGAACCAATACTACCAGCTGTGATTTTCAATAGAGACGACATAGCAAAGGCAAAAAACATTTTAGACACGGAAAAATCAACAGGATCGAGTCAGTTATACCCCTAATCTGGAGACAAATTGCACTTTATATTGCTACTTTGCTGACTACGATATTCAAGATGTCTTCTAGTTGATTTAAGTTGCCTAAGGGTTAGAAGGATTCAATCATCACTTCAAATCACAAGACAGGGTCGAAAAAATTTGTACCAAATTACGGACTTGTCAGCCTCAACAATATCGTAGGTCAACTACTGGAAAGAGTTATGAAAAATGCCATTATGTCATTCATGGAGACTAACAGCTTGTTTTACGGCAAACAACATGGTCTCGGGAGGGCTTTTTTTAAACATCTAAGTTCTTTTTAGCATGACGGAGATAGAAGGAGTCATTTAGGAGTGGGGTGCCAGTTGAGGCTGTGTACGTCTACTTCAGAAAAGGATTTGATAATGTTTCGCATGGTAGATACCTAATAAATGTGGAAAACCTAGGAATTTCTAGACCTCGTGGTAGGCCAAAATGAAAGTGTGCATTTTAGATTTTCTTCAGGGAAGCCAGTGCTTAGTAGAGCACTGTAAGTCTATTTCTTAGGTCCTTTACATTTTATCCTACTTGCAGATAAACTTCCACTTATCTTTATATCGCGGATCTTACTTTATGTCTATAAAGTCAAAGTCTGACCGTAAGTATCAGGTGGTGTGGATGCACGTGCACCCCTATCCGACCTAGACGTTTCGCTTAGCCGACGCCTATCGACGTGCCCAAGTGTGTCTGCATGAACATCGGAGAATAAAGAGTGAATGACTTCAGCATTGGAGAAGCCTCGGTGCCCTTAGACCTGTCTTATATTGATTTTGGGGCAGTGGTGAGCCACAACAGTCTACTGCCATGCGATTGCAGCCAAGAGGCTTAGAACCATACGAACAGACGTTTACCAAGCTGGGTACAAATATGTCTACCATAGTATACACAGCCTTAGTGAGGTCGAAACTTGAAAACTGCGTTTAGGCTGCAAGCCCATGTTTAGGATATGTCTTTAGTATCTTGAAAAAAGTGAAAAATAGCTATCTGTGCAAGTACAGGATTTCTGGGTCTACCATACATAGGGTGGCCTGAGAAGTTAGACTTCTTTACCCCGTCTTTCCGTATATACGGAGATGGTCTGACTTTGATGTATAGAATACTTAGAAATGGCTTTGAACCTGGCGTATTTACTCTCCTTATCCCCAAAAGATCAGAAAGATTAAGAATGCACCACAAAGGGATTCAAAAGAGAGGAACGAACAATATATATGTGGTATTCATGTTTTCGCATTGAGTCATAAACGCTTGGAACCTTCTATTCGGGGAAGTAGTGTTCACACTTTCCTTTGAGCCATTCAGTAGAACAAGGCTCAGAGAGACCTACTAAAAGGGAATAGCACAGTCCGTTGGTCTTTTATCCTCAATACACAAGGTGCCAACTAATAGACTGCAATTGAAGTTGGCAAACCTTGGTATTGCCGGACCTCTTTTAAAATGGATTAAGGATTTCCTAGTAGGTCGTAGGCAAAAAGTAAGGATAAATTCCAAGTGCTCCATCTGGAGACCAGTACTTAGTGGAGTACCCCAAGGTTCCGTCTTAGGTCCTTTACTTTTTATAATGTACGTTAATGATCTTACAAGTATAGTACAGTCTCTAATGTTATTATACGCTGACGATGTAAAAAATTGGCGAGTAATAACTGGAGACAAAGATGTATTTACTCTTCAGGCGGACTTAAATAATATGATAAACTGGTCTAAAGAGTGGCTGATGCCTATCAACTCGGAAAAGTGTGTCTACATGCATTTGGGGGATTCAAAGGTTAATACGTACAACATAGGGGATGTGTCATTACCCGTAGTCCGGTCTCATAAGGACCTAGGGGTGACAGTGAACAATGATCTTAAGACGACGGCCCATTGCCGGGAGGTTGCAGTTAAGGGGTTTCGAACCCTCTGGGCTTTAAAAAGGACATTCACTAAGTTTGATACTAACATGTTCACCACATTATACACATCCTTAGTGAGAAATAAGTTAGAGAACTGTGTTGAGGCTGCAAGCCCCTGTTTAAAAGGTGACTCAGACATACTAGAAAAGGTACAGAGGGCAGCTACGCGTGCAATTCCGGAACTCCGGGGTTTATCATATAAAGAGCGGCTTGAAAAACTGACCCTCTTTACTCTGTCCTATCGCAGACTAAGGTGCGATCTAATATTGATGTACAGAATACTGAGAAATGATTTCGGTCCTAACTTATTCTCTCTCTTTCTTCCCACTAGATCAGGACACCTCAGAGGACATAGCAGGCGAGTAGAAAAGCCAAGAACGAACAAAATACCCGTGGCATACAGTTTTTCACACCGAGTCATCAATACTTGAAACCTGCTGCCTGAAGCAGTGGTGTCCGCACCTTCAATTGACTCTTTCAAGAGAAGACTGGACACTCTCAGAAGCATACTAGAAAAGGAATAACATAGGCCGTAGGCCTTCTGTCCTTACTACACAAATCTGAATCTGATCTGAAAAATCAGACTCAACTCAAAAGTAGTCGATCTCCAGACACATTCCCGGTTTGATGGAACGTATTTAGCAACGTGAGTCTATCAGCCTGCTAAAATTTGCCAAAGAAATGTTCTTTTACATCATGTATAAATCGAAACGTACTAATCCAATTCATCACAAGCCTTTTTGGATATTGGACAGCGCGTACTAAGACTATGTGCGTATCAACCTAAAAGATGTTCGGACGAGGGAAAAGTAGTCTCTCAAAGCCAAAAAAGGTTCATTCTCTTGAAAATTTGAAGTTAGTTCTAGTCGTTCCAAATTTTTAAATGTCTTTCAATGATGTATTCATTACTTTGTTGTTCATTTATATACGTCTAGGTAATTTCGTGTGAAGTATAATGCTCGGCAAAGTAGTCTCCAACTAGTCACCACAGATCCATTTTCTTGTCAAAAATCCGTGTATGACTCATCTCTCTCCCTCAAACAGGAATATTAAATAGAAATCGGAGCATACTTCCTACCTTATAGTTATGTATAGCTTGCATTTGACCTGCATTCTTATTTAGTCAAGGACTTTCTGAGTATCGTTGGCGTTGTAATTTAGACTCTCAAACACTTTCAGCGTTGGAGTTGCTTCATTTCGTGACGTTCGTGGAGTATTTGTCCACAAATACTATGGGAACTATCGTAAATACTTCATTATGGCGTTTGTGACTTTCTAAGCAGCCGAGGGGTATACTGCTTTTTATCCCTAATGAGTGAATGCCTTTAGCAAATATAGCCTCTCGAGGCGTCCAAAACTGACTAAATACTTGACTAAACATAAGTTATGTATAACCATATTATACATTTAAAATTTAAGTTTTTTCAGCGGTAGATTATTGATCTTATCGAGGGTGTATCCTCGTCGACCAAAGTTAGTTCGGTTATCGTTGTCATACAGTTTTAGCAATATAGCATAATGTAGCTTCATCATTCTTCTGTGTAATCTGGGATCAGAGGCTAAGATATTCGTCACAAGTTTCCGTATGGCCCGCTGCACATAGGACAGAATAATTCAGTTTGAACTAACTAGTGAAACCCAGTTAGTTTATCTCAGTCAGTCAGTCAGTAACAACGTAGAACTTCGTACGTACGTACATCAGTTCGAGTTGCCACACCACATTAGCACAGAGATGCACTTGTCGATTCAAATCCCGTAGTGGCAGAGGTAATAAGAGTATAAGCAGTAATCGGGAAGATTAGGGTTTGGAGATGTTATTTAAAGAGTATAATCCAGTGAAATAAATTTGGAAAAGGAAAGAGAGACAAGGAGGAATAAAGAGACCAAAATTTGGGAGAACACAGAGAGTGGATGAACCTGCGCCATTGCAAACGATTTTGAGCCATGTCATTCAGGGTCTCTAACCATCGGTTGCTGTCATCTCGCGGTCCCCAACCAGGTAGTCTACACCTACCAACATGACTCAGTTCACTTGTCAGTGACTTCATGGACTTGTGCCATGTTTTGGTTTGGCCGCCCCTAGGTTACTTCCAACCTACTCCTATACCACTGAACATAGCACGTCGAGGCAGTCGGTCGTTGAGCATACGTAACACGTGTCCCAGCCATCTCAACTGATGAAGTTTCACTACATCATCAATTGATTTGCCATCCTTACCTAGTACCCGTTTCCTAACAACTGAGTTACTTACTCAATAGTCCCAGGATATACGAACAATGTTTCGAAGACACCTATGATCGAATACTAGTAACCTACGAATATCCTCTACTCTTACCGGCCATGTTTCACTGCCATAAAGTAGGACGGAACGAACTGCTGCGCAGTAAACACGTCCTTTGGTTGATAGACGGATATCTCGCCTACGCCATAAATGACGCAAGTTGGCAAAAGCTAGTCGAGCCTTCTGTATCCGTGCTGAGATTTCGTCACACACCAAACCACAAGGGCTGATGAGACTTCCAAGATAAGTGAAGCGGTCGACACACTCAACTACTTCACTCCCTATCACTAGTTCGGGTGTCGATGTAACCCAATCCTGAAGCAACATTTTGCATTTCGAGGGAGAGAATCGCATGCCGAACATGCTTGCATTGTTGCTTAGAGTGGTCAGAAGACTCTGCATTTTGTCAGCGTCTTCACCAAATAAAACTGTCATCAGCATATTCTAAGTCAACAAGTGAACCTCCTGGTAGAAGTTCAACCCCTGTAAATTTAGGTGAGGAGAGTGTTATCTCTAAAAGTATGTCAATGACAAAGTTGAACAAGAATGGGGAGAGTGGACAGCCCTGACGAACACCACTTGAGGTGATCAATTCTGATGACAGTTTGCCATAAGCTCTCACTCTACCAGTTGTGTTCGAGTAGAGAGCCTGTATAAGGTTAATGTACTTCTTTGGTACTCCTTTCAGTGACAAACACTGCCATAGAACCTCACGATCAACAGAGTCGAATGCCGCCTTAAGGTCGAGAAATACTACGATTGTGGGGCGTCTGAATGTGTGTCTGTGTTCTAGAACCTGACGTAGTGTGAATATCTGATCTATACAACCACGTCCAGGTCGAAAACCAGCCTGGTTTTCTCTAGTCTGCTCTTCACGAGCTTTAGTTAGGCGTCGAAGTATTATTGAGGCTAATATTTTAGACACTATACTAGTCCTACTGATTCCTCTGTGATTGTCACAAGAGGACTTTTGTCCTTTCTTAAAAACTGGCACAATCAGTGATTGAGACCAGTCAGATGGGATTACGTCCAGTTCCCAAATTCTACCTAAGACCTCGGTTAATCTCATTGCTAATACTGGACCACCATCCTTAAAAATCTCAGGAGTAAACCTGTCAGGGCCTGCTGCTCTCCCTCGCTTCAGATTTCCTATGGCTTTTTCAACTTCGTAAAGAGTCGGAGGACGTACACTAACTTGCCATTCAGGTTGACTGGAGATCGTGGGAAACCGAAGTGTGGCTGAAGGCCAGTTGAACTGATCCCTAAAGTGTTCTGCCCATCGATCCAATTTTCTGGATTGAGAATGAATAATATGTCCATCTTTCTCTGAGATTGTTTCGCTAATGGTCGGGTTCCTAATTCCGGTTTCCTTAACGAGTCTAAACAATTGTCTGCTATTACCTATTGCCGCTCCCTTTTCCATCTCTCTTGCTTTCGCTACCCACCACTGTTCGCGATCATTGCGTAGACTTCTTGTCAGCTTGTGCTTAAGCTGACTCCGCTCTTCATTATGTTCAGAGCCAGGTGGAATGTGTTTCCGAGCATTTATCAGTGAGATAGATGCTGCTGAGATCCAGTGTTGCTCCCTAACCTTCTGGTTTACCTTACTAGCAGATATCACTGCTGTTTCCACAGCTTTTTGGATATCATTCCATGCTGCATCGGGGTGGGCATCACATACATGGCTGCCTAACTGTTTTCCTAGTTGTTCCTGAAATATACTCTTAGCTTGACTATCATTAAGTAGGGCCCTAAGAGGTTTCCTTGCAGGATCTTTCCTACGTCCAGTAAGACGCAAGCAAATACGCGCTCGCACTAGAGCATGATCTGAATCTAGGCATGTGCTCCAGAATGAGCGGCAGTCTTCTATCGAGCCCCTCCATCGGTGGCTGATAGCGATGTGATCTATTTGGGTCCAACGTTGGGACGAATTAGGGGGTCGCCATGTTAAAAGATGTTTTTCCTTATGCTTAAAGTTAGTATTTGCAAGGAACAGGCGGTTATCTGAGCATAGCTGCAACAGACGGTCGCCATTATCTGTTCTTTGAGCTACGACACCATAAGATCCACCCAGGTGTCTTTCCCTTTCGCTTAGTTTACCTACTTGAGCATTAAAGTCACCGGCCACTATTACTACATCCAAGCGACTAGCTTTTCGGAGAAGGTCGGAGAGCTTTCTGTAAAACTCATCTTTTACATCATCTGAGCTGCAGTCAGTGGGAGAATAGGCAGAGACGACGAAGAGGCAACGACGAGTGTCCCTATCTTTCCGGATTCTTACTGTTCCGTTCAGTCGGACAGCGCACAAACGACTGTTTACTGGGATCCACTCTAAGAGAGCTAGTTCTGCCCTAGGACTCAATGCTATACCTACGCCGGCGAGGCCAAGGGAAGCAGAATCAGGGCTTCCAGATACACGAAGCGTAAATCGAGTCGGTTCTTTATTTTGGCATGGTGAGGTCAAATGAATGACGCTACTTGGATCCTGTATGCGCGTTTCGGAGAGGCAGCACACATCGATGGCGCGAGATTCTAAAGTTTTAGCTAAGAAAGCCTGCTGTCCTATTTGGCACAGTGTTTGGACGTTAAAAGCTCCTACATGTAGTTTAGAGCGTGGTTTCAGGAGACCAGGAATGGCGTTCCACGTACTCGAATCGTTTGCCCTAGCGGTGCGAGGTGATAAAGAGACGTGAGGAGGGTTAGTCGGGAGGATAAGAGAGGTATTAGGAGGTGTAGGAAGGATTTGAATGTGACCACCTTGGTCTCTTGTGCTGTTACGGGTATGAGGGCTGATGTCACTTCCCGGCTGCCCACACCGTGGAAGGGTATTTCTTGATGAACCTGAAAAGGAAATTGGATTAGTGTTGGTCTTGACGACCTAGGAGCGTGACCACAGAGCCCAAGGGACAACTGCTTGAGGCCGGTCGCGCACGGCCTTTTTGTGGAAGGTTTTTGACGTGTTAGCTCCGTTCTTCAAGGGGCCTTACCGCCGGAGACGGAAATCCGTGAGGTAAGGTGAGGTGTGCATTTTTAGGGTCGACCTTTTCTAACCCCACCCCTCCTTGTGGGAAGGCAGCATCGCTGTCATGCTGGTTGTCCGAGGGAAACACCTTACTGCTGTCACACCTCTCTACAGTCAGCAGTACGACTTCGCCCTCAGACCCCCGACCGTTGTTGCTACCTTGACGTGGTGGTCGGGCTTGCCTATCGTGATGAAGCAACCGAGCTATACTGGCTGGAACAACCGTTCCTCAAGGTCCTACCATGTCAGACAGGTCGGTTGAAGAGCGGTAAGACTAAAAGCAACAAACCCAAGGTCCGAAGGCGAAGTCGTACTGCTGACTGTACAGAGGTGTGACAGCAGTAAGGTGTTTCCTTCAGACAACCAGCACGACAGCGATGCTGCCTTCCCACAAGGAGGGGTGGGGTTAGAAAAGGTCGACCCTAAAAATGCACACCACCTTACCTCACGGATTTCCGTCTCCGGCGGTAAGGCCCTTTGAAGAACGGAGCTAACACGTCGAAAACCTTCCACGAAAAGGCCGTGCACGACCGGCCTCAAGCAGTTGTCCC